TCCCCAGTGTGTTCCTTGATGGGATTATCAGTTTTCTCATGTCTTGCTCTCTGTGTATTTTTGCAAAGCAAAAATAGTCTCTATAAAAGATACCTTGTGCCTATACAAAGTTCTTCTGAGCTAATCTATTTACCTTTTCTTCCCCCTCAGACTGTGGAGTGTTTTCACTCTCAAATCCTACATGCTTTCTCTGTTGCTTGTTTAAATAATTCCTTAGACTCATCTTCTGTCTCCCCCTACTTCTTTTTCTCCTCCTTCTTCAAGTTTTTAAGTTAGATTTTTATTTTTTCAGTTCTGTCTATCTTTTTGGATGAGTTAAACACTTGTTATTTTTTCTAATTTTTCTAATTTCTAATAATTTTTTCTAATTTCTAATATTGTTCCTTTTCAAATCTTTAAATAAAATTCTAAATCCTTACCAACAATTTTAAAATTTCCTACAAAATTGTTGATAATGGTGCTAATATGCAACGTCCTGGAGATTCAATCCTAGCCTTTGCTTCTCAAAAATAGCCACCAGTGAATATAGAAATGTAGAGCCAAAAAGGACTAATACTGCAACAGAACATTAATTGTCATTGTACAAACACCCAAAAGCATGTGTACATTGGTACTCCGACAATATTTGCAATTCCTTTGGTTTATAAAGACAGTTACACAGACTTACATAAATTCACAGGGATCTCTGCAGAGAGAACTTTGAGAGCTGCAGTTAAAATGGATTTATTTCAGGATTAGCACAGACATGATCATTTTGAACTTGCTTTGTGCATGGAAGTTGTCCAAAAAGGGAACAGAAAAATCATAGCCAGTTCACCCAGTGCTGCCAAATCTGCTGTAGCAGGGACCCCTAAAAAATGGGCTGTCACTTGATGAAGGGACAGATGCAATGCAAAAGCATGGCTCTGTTACTTGTCTTTCAGTTTTGTGTGAAGCAAGAGCTACTTTACATTAACAGAGAGCAACATGTTGATAGCAATTTAATTTCCAGCAAGCGATGTAGTCAAACTGCATCTCTGATATTCCTATATTCCCAGAAAGAAGCCAAGCCCCAGGGGACAGGCTTCCTGCTATTCCTCCAGTGCTGTTAGCAAGCTGCCCTGGCAGGGCAGTGACAAGCCTGTCATGACCCTGCTTTAGGAAATCCAACCTGTTTTATATCAGCTCTCCTATTTTTTTTGGGAATCATGTGATTTAAGTAGAGCTAGAGCAAGCAGAGCAGGCTGTTCCATCAAGTCCCAGAAAAATCACTTGCAAGCAGTTCATAGAAATAGTTCACTGTGCAATTTCAAATAATGAACATACAAAATAAAGTGTCAGCAGGGAACTGCTCATGCATAATTTGGGAACAGGGATAACTGTTCAGTGTGACTGAATAAATTGTTTACTCTGTACAGTTTAGATAATTTTAATAGCAAACAATTTTACTCTGTCCTTATACCTCAGGATCATGTGCCTGTTGGATAAACATCTACAACAACCAGTGCTTCTGTTAAAACTCGGATGCTTAGACAGATTATTGTAGAAGAAAGTTGTCTCCTGGCTCTAAGTCTGCAATACTCATTTACTATGCTATCAATCAAATACCTGGAAGCCCTGGGATATGGTGTTTTATACCTTGGATTCAAATAAGAAGACAGCCTGTCTTGTATTAATAGGAGACACCCTCTCTGCAGGTGTTGCATTGGAAGAACTGCCTGACTATACATCAGAAAGTGTCTGTTGGAGGCTTGAGTCAAAAAATGCATGGAATGCCCATATTCCTTTTAAATAAATCTCCAGAATATTAAAAAGCCAAGAGAGTATTTTTCATTCATAATCTCTGCCATACAAATTTCCTTCTAAGAAAACACAATTCTTGAGGATGCTTTCAAGCAAAACCCATATAAATAAATTTTCTGTGGAAAATATGCGTAATTTTTCAGTTACATGACATATAATTTCAGCAACTGGGATGGGATTTGCCAGTGTATTTTATCCTACTCCAGACAGTTGTCAAATACACACAGGATTAATTACTTTCTAAAGGAGCCCCCTTATATTGTCTATAGAGGGAGTTTAAAAGATTAGTTTAGAGTAGATGCTGAGTACGCTTCCTGAAACTATAAATGGAAATGTTTCATAGATCTTGCCATTGTCTGAAAATAGCCTTGTCATCCTGGCACATCTGGGATCCTGAATACAAAGCATTTTTTCTCTTTAATGAAAACTTTGCCTAAAAAAGGCTACGAAATCAGGCTCTCATTTGGAAGAGGCAGAGCGCTTGCAATTTTACAATAAGTTACTTTATCATCTGCTTAATAAAGTCTTCTGATGCTCAGCTATGCTAAACTGAGAAGCAGGAGAGGGAAGTTCTCCTGCCTGACCTCTGCTGAGGTCCAACACCTCCCTGCATCATCAACAGGATGATATTTTCCCTGAAACACAGAAGAACAGGCAGGCTTCAAGAGGTCAGGGTATACTGCTGAGGATCACAAAGCCAGTGGCTAGAGATAAGGAGCAAGACTGAGAAATCTGTAAAGCCCATGTGACATTTTCTACTGTGGACTATTACTGTGGAAAATAACGAAATAATTTGAAAAAGTACTTAAGCTATCAAGACTTTATTAGCAGAAGAAAGAGACGCGGCAGAGAGGAAGCCTGCATCAATGAACAGCTGTAAAACCATTAAACCTGTCTCGCTAACAAAATGCATCAATTCAACACAAATCTCTAAAAATTGATCTGTCTTTCTGAAGCCAATTCCATGTAAATGCAAACAGTTTTTATTTCTTTCCTCTGACAGATTAATTTATATTAGCACACTTCAATGAACTTGAACTTTACTGACAAAGATAGGAGGTTAAGCCAGTCTTTATAGTGGTTCAACAGTAGGACATTAATTTAATTAAGCCAGCCTATTCTCCTATGGTACATGAGACCTTGTTTTTAGAGGATAAACTCTACTTAATATATTTTACTTAGAGAATGTTTGTTATCTGTACAACTATAGATACTGTTATCTAATATTATCTGTATAACTAAAGGTTATATTAAAATTATGGCCATTAATATCTGCCTATGACTATGTGTTATTACCTATATGAAATAATGCCAGTGATTCTATTAAAGTTTTTTTTTTTCTACAGATTGGTAGAGTCCATCACAGCCATGTCTACATGCTCCATCTGCTTATGCTCCTTCTGGAGAGACAGCATATAGGGGCAGTTCTCAGATCTTTGCTCATTTTTCTCTTTCTGCTGACAGCTGTACCAGATACCACCATTTACATTACCCATGTAGTCTTGGTTCTTACCTCTCTGCTACAGAGCAGAAATGGCATTTAATCATAAACATACTGAAATATCAAGATTCCAAGAGACTAGCTGCGGTCAGGACAAAGTTCTACACCCTCACATGGCTGCAAATAGCAGTTCATTGCCAAGCTTTCCTAACTAACGTTTTTTGCATTGAGCTAAGCAGATGCTGTTTACCACCAAGGCTTTGCCCAAAATTAGAGAAGACCTGGAAGGTAATCAGAGAAGTACAAAGACTTTATGGAAGATACAACGAACTGTGCTTCTCCAATGCATAACGTTCAGTAATGTGCTAGAAAATGCTTACACGTCAGTTTAGATTGGGATAGGAGCTCTGCTTTGTGCTGCTTTTGGAAGCTACTTGGCTTTGCTCCAGCAAGCAAAGCTGAATACTGTCAATCTCAAACACATATGCCAGATGCAATCACTTGTGACCATTCCTGTAGCCATGCTATCCTGATTCACTCTTCCTACCCTTTTTCCAGCTCTCTTACTCTTCTGCATATCTTGGGAAAGAGCAAGTACATCCATAAAAGTGGCTGGCCAGTCAGAGGAAACATAGTCCCAAATCAAGTCCTTCATAATTATTTCATAATATATTTTTGAAAATCAGATCTTAGGCAGCAAGATTCAAAAAACCCCTGTTCATATATGTATCCCTGGAAAGATCCAGATCTCTTCTCCAAGGTGTAAAGCCAAGAACAACCATAGCAAAGGTAGAGCCTCCTGGGATGCATGTTGATGTGTACATGTATAAACAGTTACTTCAAAAATTAATCGAGATTCTGTCTACTTTCCAAAAAATATTAAGGTATAATGCTGACCATATGTTCTTGGCTGCTGAAAAAATAACCCCACTTTGTAGCTAGCTCATCAGAATGTACTGAAAGGGTTTTTCTGCCTTTGCAGTCCTAATTTATCATTGACAGGTTTTGGGATGGGATGGGCTGCCCATAGGCTGTATCTGGACTGTCTTTCATCACTGGACGCTACTCATCATCACTGGACGCAACCTCCTGGGGATGAGGGCAGGCTCGGTGACTATTTTGCCTGCCCTGCAAGACTTGGTGGTCCAGGAGGGGGCAAGACAGGGCATCGGCAGAGCCGTCTGCCGACGTGCAGGGACACAAGCGTCCCGCTTTGGAGGCACGTCGTGCCTGGGAGCTGTCAAACAGCCACACGAGCAAACTTGGCGACATCTCTTAAGCATCGTGCTCGTGACAAAGAGCCACCGCAGGTGCCAAGTTGAGAAGAGCGGTTCTGTAAGGGCCGCTGTGGCTCCATGTAGGGGCAACACTGCTTGCCGCACGTTTAGGGGAGAATTCAGCCCTTCTAATTTTAACCACTCAGCGGCCGGGCAGGCTGCCCGAGCAAAGGGGCTGAACCTCTGCGGGGCCGGCTCTCCCCACCTGGTTTAGGCGGCTCGCTCAGGCGCCGCCCGCTACCCGCAGGCCCCGAAGCGGGCGGGGGTACCCGGGTTGAGCCTCGCAGCTCCCCGGGCCTCAGAGCCGCCCCCGCCCCGCCCGCAGCCCCCCGGGGCGGTCGGCGGCGCCTGCGCGCTGCGGCCTCTCGGTGTCGGTGTCGGTGTCGGTGTGAGTGTGGGTGCCCGCCCGGCGCTGGCGCCGCCCGCAGCTCCCGCCGCCGCCGCTGCCTATTTTAGTCACGGCCGCGGCTCCGTGCCCGCTGCGGGACGCGCTGCCGGCAGCGCCGAGGAGCGGCAGCTCCACGCTGTCTCTGTCTTGCCCCGTCGCGGGCGAGCGGCCGGCCGGGAAACTTTTCCCAGGACGCGAGGCAGGTAAGGGGCGCTCCCGCCTCCTCCCTGCGCCAGCAGCAGCGGGAGTGCGGGGAACGGCGGCGGGGAGCAGCGCCGGCTGGTCCCTCCGGGGCCGGGGGGTGCTTCTCCACCGGCGGCGGGAGGGGCGGGCGCCGGGCTCCCACTGGACCTGCCCGGCGACCGGGGAGAAGGCGCCGTCCTGCCCCGGTGTCCGCCTTCCCTTGCCGGGCACTCGGGTCCCGCCGTGCCGGGCAGTCCTGCCCGCCCGCTCACAGCTCTGGGAAAGCAGGGCCGGGCGATGGCCCTTGGTGGGGTTGCAGCTTTGGAAATGGCCTTCTGGGGGAGGGGGGGAAGGAGGAGGGTTGGGTCGATACTTTTCAATTTTTTTTTTTAAATATTTTCACGATTATTTCGTACGAATGGTGGTTTTGGTGTTCGCACGCTGTGGGCTAAAATGAAGCCTCGGAGCGCAGAGCAGGGCTGCGGGGTGGCAGCTGCTGTTGCCCACCTCAATTTCAGCTCTGGGCGCACCTGCGAGCGATGTGACCCGAGGGGACAGCGAGCCCAAAGGCGGCTGAAGTTCCATCGCCGCAGCGCAGCCCCGCTGCTCTCAAGTCGAGCGTACCTGGGAGCGTTTCTCACTGTGTGAATACTTTGTTGACTGTTCGAGGAAAAATGTAATATTTTCAGTCTGCGGAAAGTGACTAAAGCGACTAACAAATTTCTGTAGTCTATACAATGAGATTATACTTGCTACAAGGAGCATGTTGATATACATATTTTCTTGTACCGTCTTCCCATTCACTCCCCGCGGCACTGCAAAAAAGGAAGTTGGTAACTTAAACTGTAATGAACTCGGCTATGTTAGCTCTAGTAGTTTGTCTTCAGATGACAAAAGCAAAAGAATTATTGATTGCCAAAATTGTCTATGCAGCTCCTGTGCTACAAGACCGCAGAAAAGTAGTTTAAAATTCTGCAGGTAGAATTAAAAAAAAAAGTTGAGCTTGAATTTTTAATTTTTTTTCCTTTAGACTCACAAAATCCATCTACATAAATGATGGACTATAGAGTTGCATTGACTGTAAAGTTAAACGAACATACTCAGGCAAAGATTTAAGAAGCTCACTTGAATAATATTCACCAGTAAATCTGTGGGAATAATCTCAATGAAGTGGATAATGATGTGACTGGGACACTCAGCACTGTCCTGTGTCAGGTTGGCTGACTGGTTCTCATACTAGAGGCTGCTGCTTTAAACTTTTCTGTCATGTCTGTCTTCTGTGAATGTTGTGTGGGTATCCATAAAATCACCATTTGTTTTAAAGTCATCTCTGTATCTGAATATTTTGACACTAAGTCTTTTGGGAATGACTTTAAGAAGTCTGGCTGTTTGTATAAAGCTGTTGTGAGCGTAGCAAAATCTTAGAGTAAGCTGCCTCATTTATGTTCTGAGAATTTGTATATTCTGACCTAAACCCAAAATGTTTTATCTTAACTTTCTATCAAGTTCATGCACAAAAGAATTTAACAGGCTTTGTTGTTAACAATGATTTTAGATAGATGTAATGTTGAAGTGGCACTGAGAGTTTTTTTGATCTGTTTGGTTTTGTGGCTTTTTGGATTTTTTTGGTTTACCCCCCCCCTTCCTCCTGTTTGGACAACAAATTGGCTTGAGTTCTCAATCAGCTAAGTTTTCAAATTCTTAGTTTGGTGAATCTAAATCCATATGATGGTCAAATTACTGGATATTAAAAAAAAATACTCTTTTAATGATTTGCCTTATATTCCATAAAGCTTTAATTTCAGTGGATGCTATTTACGCAAATTTTCCCAAATTATTTGACTATATGGGATTTTTTATAACTCCTGATACTAATACATGTCTTTGCATTGAAGACTTAAGCATGACTATATAGTCTTGTGCTATGTTAATTCTTAGTAGATATAACCCTAAGTTAAAGTTTTAAAGGTCTAATTCTGTACTTTAAAAACTAAATTTTGGCTCTCTGAAATAGCAGAAGATAAGAAATTATGCTTGCTTGTTTGTTTGTTGGTCTGCAGCTTTTTCTCCTCACTCTTCAGTATTATTTGACAACAGTAGATGGTAGAACTAAAGAATTGATCTAGAAGTTATAGCAATGTTGTTTATGACACTTTGGATATTTGCCTTTCTGGTGTTACCTGTAGATAAACACTTAAGGTTACAGCTCGTAACTCTGCCCGTCTGCCTTTTTTTTTTCATTCTCAAGCAGGCTCTGTAGTTGAAATTCAGAGCCAGTGTCAAAATCTGTCCTCGTGTAACTTTGCAATCTGTTTCTGTCAGCTTTAAAATACCATTGTGACAGAGAAGTTCTGCAGGTTTCTGTTGTTTTCCAGTACGTTAGGGGAGCTGCAGTCATTGTGAGTAGTAAGGGAAGTTTGAATGCATTCAGATAAAAGCTTTGAGGTATTAAAGACAGCTTATTAAAAAAGTGGAGGTGGGTAGGTTTAGGTTCCTGAGTTGTAATTTAGGTAATTAAGTAGTAGCTCAGACTTTCAGAAGCACTGAACATCCTCTTACAACTGCAGATGCTTTAAACAACTTGGTCTGTGTTTGTTGGAGAAACATCTTCCCATAACAGCACTTTATGGCTAGTGGTTTGTGGCATCAGTACATGTGAAGAGCAAGGGGAGCAGTGTTTTTGCTGGACTGGGAGGAGAGTGAGATTGTCCCGTGCTGTATATTTAATTCAGCTCATTTGGTTTCCAGTCTTCAAATGTGTGATGCTTTACAGCCAAGTCTTAAAAGAGTAAGGTAGCCTCTGTTCTCACAGTGATGCAGTACAAAACTTTGCTATTAAAAAAATCAAACATCTGGAAGGCTTCTTTTGATTTGTCATCAGATGCAACTGAAGTTGCTTCTTGCAGCCTGTTTTGATCTTGAGTTGAGCTCGGTTGTCTTTACTTGTTCTGTTGGCATATTAATAGGGCCTTTACTGGCAGATGACTGGGCAGTGAAAGGCTGAATATAGGTAGAAATTCAGCAGAAGACTTTTTTTAAAAGATCTAGAGATCCTGCTGTTCCAGTGTAGGGAGTTTAAATTGTTTGAAAACAACAGGAGCACCGTGATGAGATGTGTGTAAGATGAGCACAGACATAGTTATCCAGTTAGCAATTGCCTTCTGTTTATGAGTGTGTTAAAATGCCAGTCCTGCAGCCTCGCACGGGCTCACACTTTGGCTCCCTATGAGAGTGTCTTTGTCAGGACAGTGAAACTGCTCTCATGAATCTGTCAGTGATTTCATTTGAAAGAGCTGAAAGACAGTAGGATTGTGTTTGGATGGACCTGATGTTTGATAACAGTTAAGTGTAGAGTTTGTTTGACAAAACCCCCCATTTTAATTAACTTTTGTGAATAACTAACGTAGGAATAAAAAGAGGAAAGTGATCTTTTAAGAAATGTGAACTATGTATTTTGGTAAAGAGTTATCTAATTGTTTGTCTTTGAAAATAATTTAAATCTGGATATGGATACACTGTGTCCATGCTAGTGTTTGATCCTACGAGATTTCTCTGCATATTCTGGAGCACACTTTAGATGTGACAGCCTGTGGCCATCAAAAAGGAACTATCAGAGAGGGTTGAGGATTTTTTTTGCTTCCTGCTACTTTAAAAGGGGTTTAAAATACTGACTAATTTCAGAAACTGTCCAGTTTGCTTATCCCTTGTACACAGGTTGATTGGGAGAGAATAGAAGAAAAGCAGCTCGAAATTGCTTCACAGCCCCAAGAAGCACTCTCAAGTAGCAGAGATGCTGTAGAGTATATTCAAGTCTAGAGGAAATATTGACGGTGTTAACAGCAACTCAGAGTTGTCTGCTGAGCAGATTAATTACAAGACATTTAGTAACACAGCAGGGATATGCACTGTCTCTGCAGAATTTAGTTGAATGCAAATCCCACTGTGTTCCTCAGTGGTGAAGTGCACGTATTTCATTAATGAGACTCAAACCCAACTCCATATAATCTCTGCTGCTGTGGCAGTGAGAGACCATAGGTGCCTTGCTGGAAGAAGGGTTCTCCTGTGTTTCTGACAGACTGTCTAGGAACAGTCGTGTTCCTCCAGCTGGGAACTGCTCTGGTTAAGACCTCCTGGAATGCTTGTAACATTGACTGCGGTTCCCTAAAGTGAGAAACTTTTAAAATTCTAAAGGTAGTGTCTTGAAATCTTCCAGTTTCTCCCTGTAGTTTGCTTTTAGTAGTAATTTTTTATTTTGTATTGGCAAGGTATTTGCCTGCCCACAGATATTTTTTTCTTTTAATTGGTGTGAAAGGAATATATGCTATATTTTATTATTACAACAACAACAAAACGCCCTATGTATATTTAGATTAGAAATAGTTTTTAGCTGTCTCTTTTTCTCCAGGAGTTCCACAGACAGACAAAGGTCTTGTAAGCTTGCTCATACTACGTAAACCAAACTATTTCCCTAAGAGATGTAGCAGCCTGGTCATCTCCCTTTCTGGTTTAGTAGCATCTGATCATCTGGGAAGAGAAATGGTATTTTTTTAATTTACTGTCCTCAAAGTGCTTTGGGGGTGTTTTGTGGGCTCTGGTTAACGTGTGCAAGATGATGCATGGTTTAGAACTCCAGATTTAGTGCAAGAAAGCCAAAAGTTGAGGTTCTTTGGTTTTTATTTTTATACAGCTGTTTGGCTTTTTTTAAATCAATCAAACAGCACATGTTCCTCCTCTAAGATCTTACATTCCTTATTTGGAAGAATGACTTTCTATGCCATAAAGGAGACTTAGTAAAAGAGACTTATGCTACATAAGTCTCTCCTTTTTTTTTTTCTTTTTTTTTTTTTCCCCCGCAATTCTCATCTAGGTTAAGTTCTCTAAATGCAATACCAAATTGTGATTTTTATTTGTGTAGGGCTAGGAAGGGCACATAGGATGTTTCCTGAGCAATGACAGTCGTAGTAGCTACTGTTGATTGTGTGCACATAGTCCACATTTTGAAAAGTTCCATTCTTCAAGCCTAGCTCTTAAGTGAAAGAGATAGCTAAGCATTACTGAACTATAGATCTAGCTTACCCTTTTAAAGCATTTGTAGATTTTTTTTTTTTTCCCCGTGAACGATAATGGAAAATATATCCTTGGAAGAGAGAAAATAGCCCTAAAATCCATGAGTATGTCTACTATATTTCAGTTTAACGCATGGTGAATTTTTTTTCCTCTCCTTGCAGGAGTTTCCAGGATGAATACTACAGCAATGAGCCCACTCACGGTTACTCCACTAAGTTTTGTTCCAGAGTTTAAAAATGCCACCCTTGAGCCTTTTAATGAGACTGCATGTGAAAACTGGAAAGAGATTCATCATCTTGTTTTCCACGTGGCAAATATTTGCTTTGCAGTTGGGCTGGTTATTCCAACTACTTTGAATCTTCATATGATTTTTCTGCGAGGTCTGCTCACCATAGGTAGGAGAATTATTGTTGAGAGATTTACAACCTTCCTGTGATAGAAATGGCTGTTCTTGACCATTACGGCGCTGGTCCCTGCAGCTTATGGTGAAATTACTGCCTGTATTAATGGTTGTTGTACTCTGAAGATGGTTTTGTCTAACTGGGGGCCTGTTTTGACCCCAGCATACCTTTTCTGGAGAGGTGATATAACCCTTGACTCTTAAAACTTTGCAGAATTGTAACTTACAATTTCAAACCTAGGAATACATCAGCTTGGAAACAAGTGGACACTGTGACTGGCTGCTTAAAATTCATCAAATTTCAAATCGGAGTTGTGTCTATGGATCTCTAAAACTTTTATTTTAGGTTTCAAGGAAGTACTGGGATTATATATTGGCTGGTGCACTGACTTAGTATATCTGCACTAGGTGAGCTTTTCCTTGGGAAGCTTGCTGTCAGCCCACGTGTTCTCTTATCTTACGTTCAAACATGTGACACTTGTGGGTCACCAGAGTTATTTTTGTTGCAAATTTACCATAGCCTTTCGATAGGGAGTGCAGTCTGTGTTCTGAAGTCAGTAGCACTTCTTCTACCACTGTAGGAATCTTGTGATACCAGAATTTGACTTGAGAGGGAAACCTAAATTTGGCGTACTTGAGACTGAGCAAGTGTAGTTTCATTTGTAACACTTGCAGTCCCATAGCTATTTCAAAGCCTGTCCAGCTTGTGTAGGACAAGATCCTTGTGATCAAAGGAGGAGTAGTGAGTCATTACAGTGCAAGAAAGATACATCCAATCCAACAAGAGCATGCTTAAGTATTTTTAAAGTGAGTGCTTATTGGTATAATAGTGAGGGCCAATTTTATGATAGAACTTCTATTGCTGAATTTACAATGATCTTGCCTTTTCTATTTTATAGTTGTTATAGGGTAACTTCTTAAAACAAACTGCACTGATGACAGAGGGTCTGAGCATTGCAGGACCTTTTATCTATGTAGTGCTTGGCTTTAAAAGCAAAGAAGGGAGCTCTGCACTTGCTGAGCCTGCTGCTTTGATCTGTAGTTCTTATAGTACTTTGAGCAGATCTGGAATCAGAGTTTTGCAAGCTGCGGTGGCAGCAGGGTGCAAATCTACTTGGTAGGCAGCATGAGTTCCTAGGTATCTGTCCCCTTTGCTTTGACCCTGCCCCCCTGTGTGCTACTTCGAAATATTGCTCTTCAATACTTCCAGACATCGTATTCTCCTATCGCTTGCAGTCTAATTAATAAGCAGATCAAAAGCCACTATATTTTGATTTTTCTGATCCGTGTGTAAGTGCTGCCTCATCAGGTAACAACGCAGACAGATTAGATAATACTGAGTTCATTAATTCAGTGTCATCTTCAGGGAGAAAGGGGACAGGAACACTCAACTTGGCACTGTCTCCTTCTTGTCTTCACGTGAAACTTAAAGGTACATGTATCTCTGATCTCTCTAGTGGATAGTAGGCTCACAGTTATCTGGGAGAGACTCACTGTTGCTTAATCTATCATTTGATAAATATTGTCTTTGTAGGCTAAAAATGGAGTCCCTAATCCTACAGCATGCCTTATCTTTTAAAGCAATTTTCATTATTCAAAGTAAGGCAGTTAAAAAAGGTAATAAGCATTTGGAAGTTTTCTCTTTGATTTTATACAGGTTCAGTTCAGTTATACATGTTCCTGCTGTGACCTTGTCGAAGTGCTGCAATGGTAGTTCCTTTTAATTTTCAAAAATATCTGCATACGATTTTAGGAAGTTTTAATGCGACTCTTGCTCTCTAATTAGATATGAAGGTTAGTGATATGATTCATTTGTAGGCTTTTGTTTGTCTAATTAATTCAATACTAGGGATAAAGTTTTCTAAATTTTTTATATTTTTTAATTTATTTATTTAGGGTAGAATTTTCCACATCTCTTTTCTGTTTCATTTTCATGATGGATCATCATGGGCTGCACCTTTCTGCTTTCCCCAGTCCTGATCTGAGATACTGTTGCTTCAGTATTGCAGACCCATGCTGTCAGCCTGCTCTCAGTGCCTGTTTGCAGCATTGTGCTGATTAGCTACCATCGCATGTGATGATCCCAAGAGCCTAAGTGTAGTACAGCTTGTAGAATATAATGTTTTTCATTGTAATTGTAGTCAGTGGATGCATTCTTGATGGCTTTGTAGGAATGTTTATTGTTTGGTGGAATCTAACTTTTTTTTTTTTTAATTTTTACAGGATGTGCATTGTTCATCATTTGGGCTACACTCTATCGCTGTGCGTTGGACATAATGATCTGGAATTCTGTGTTTTTGGTTGTCAACCTTTTACATTTCATATACCTAGTGTATAAAAGAAGGCCGGTATGTATAACAGCTACATTTCACAAGCAGTCTGGTAAGATGCAAGAAAAGGAGATTTTGCCCATGTTTACTGGGCAAACCAATGAATTGGAACTCATTTTCAGCAGAATGTGTTTGTGTTCCAGAGACACACTCTGGAAGCATGTAACAGCTAGTACCAAAAAAACCCCCAAACCAACCTATCTGGAAATAAGCTCTTCACCAAATCAGCACAACCTGTGCCAGAAAGCAGCTAAGAAATTACCACCTTGCTCCTTTCCTGGCACAGCAGCATGAAGCTTGGCTTCTGTCTTGCCCAGAAGATATCTACAAATGTCTAGCTAGTTTTCAGCTGTGTAGTAAATATTTCTAGTTTAAATTGCTCTCAGATAGTAATCTTGCGAGTTAAAGGGGAAGTTCCTCTTGAGTTTGTGTTGCTAATGCTGTTATTTTAACCTATTCAATTATTTATGTCATCACTAAGATATAGCATATGATGAAACTGCACTGTATTTCTGCTAGTCAGCTGTGGCCATGCTGTCTAGTGCACACACAAAATAGCAATTGTGATAATGCAGAACCAGTGGGGCCAGACTACGTTTGTGTCTGCAGATAAATATCCCATGCAGGTAATCTGGTTTTTAATATGGGACGAGCTCATGTTGCAGTCTTTTCCCCCCAAGTAAGTTAGCATGTCCTGCTCCCCTCCAACCCACCCACCAACTGAGCCTTTTAGTATCATCTTGACTCCTCTAGTATTTTGTCAGGTGGGACAGGAGCTGGCCAGCAATGTCAGAAATTATTGTAAAAGGCAGGAGTGCACAACTGATAGAAATCCACGTCTGAAGAAAACCAAACCTTAAAACTTGTATTTTTTTAAAAGTGAGTTGTGGCACACGTCTTCAAATGTAGGTAATGCTCCTTGGGTTTGTACCCATCCAGCCCTTTCAGAAAATCTGAATAAAAGTCTGTTGGAGAGTCAAGAAGCATCTTGGGAGAATGATGTCGTGGTTTGTGGTTGAGTAAAAAAAATAATGTGTAAGTCAATACTGAATGAAGAAAGAAAAATATTCTTCTGTAATTATAGTTGTCTACTAAAAGTTATGTTTGCATAGGCTGGGGTATTTTGTGCAATATGGTATAGACTTCATCCTGATGAAGAGACAGCTATTTTCATTAAATCCTCTAGTAAAATTATTAGCAGAATTATTTGTAGGAGTTAGGTTAAGTAATAGAAGTCCTACTCTATAGAAGAATTTAAAAAGAAAGAATTGTGTAAGGACATGAAACTTGACTGATAAACTCAGTCATTGAAGTTTGTAAAAAAAAAATTACATCTAAGAGAGAAAGAATTGGAGGACCTGCCTTTAACTTTTCTTTGTATTTCTGTAGCCCTTGCCCATTAGAAATGTAACCACAGCAGAATTTAGGTGGTTGGCACTCCCATAAACTGTGTGCCATATGCATGTGGTACAAAATTGCAGCTGTTCTTACACAGAATAAACTGGAATTCTCAGCAGAAAATGAAATGTAGGAAAATAGACTTTGGTGGACCTGTTCTAAAATGCTGTGCGTGTTGAGGATTTCAACTTAAGTAGAGGCAGAGCAAGCTGCCAAAGGAAGAATTTAAAGGAAATGAAAGAGATGGTAGAAAGGCTGAAATCTTTACCAGCATGACTAAAACCTGCAAGACACTCCAGTAGGCAACCACAGCATATAAAAAGAGAATGAAGGTTAAACTGCATTTGTCTGCAACAAGGTAATAAATTGAGTACACTTACTTGAGTACATGTGTTGACAAAGTTTACCTACAGTGCTGTTCCTCCAGTATGGAGCACAGATTTGTCTGAAGGTTACCATCAACAGAGCTACATTACTTATACAACTTAAAAGCTTAGTCAAGAATTAGTTCTGATAGACTGGCCATGTAGTGCTGTTTCCTTGTGTTTTAAGACCTAATTTCAATAATATTCTTTCCATTAAGAAATCACAGTATTTATGAATACTGCGTGAAAAATATTGTACTGTTTTAATTGGTGTAATATGTAGTATTTCAGTAATTATTTCAGTAATTATTTAAAAAATCATATGAATCTTTGTTACAGACTGTGATCAACAAGCTTACTTGAAGTGATGCCTAGTAGTCACGCATGACTTTTTAGCTGTCTTGCACGTTTACTACAAACACAAAGACTGTTTTTTAAGTATTTTTCCTATAGGAAGATAAAGAATGGGGAAAAAATTTGAAATTCTTAGGAACTCATTTTTGAACGAGACTTTCTGCAGCTATTTTATTGCCCATCTCAGTCAGTTTTGGTCATCCTCACATCCCCTCTTTTTAAGGAAAGAAAGGAATGGAAGAATAATTACAAGTTAGTTGTATTACAAAATGAATAATTGATATGCTCAGTTGTTAAATATTTATTTTATTAAATGGAGCATGCAAAATCCCAGTGGGTTTCTTTTCTGACCAGAAGACTATTTCTGTGGTTTTGTTTCCTTGGAGCTTTACAAATTTGGCTTTTGTAGTCTGAGTGGAAGCTGAGTCTAATCAGTGTCTGACTTGGAGATCTGGCATCACCCCAGAATATTTCAACCACTGCTGAACAAAACACTGCACCTACCCATATGGCTCATTTGGAATATGACCCACAAGCATGACTGGAGGAGCAATCAGCTGTGCCTGTGAGAGACGAATAATCTGATACAAGGGAGACCATCTAAAGTACAGCTCCAGCCTGATCAGTCTGTAAGAAAGTAGTTACACCTGCTTTCTCTAAGTATTAATTACTACAGGAAGATCACAAAATGTGAATTATGTACTAGTTAAGGGATTGCATTAACACTCCAGGGCCAAAATTCGCCCTCATGTCTGCTTGCATGGTTTTGAATTCAGGAGTCTTGGAAGCTACTCAGATTCCTTTTTGAGATGAAGATATATATTTGAGTTGCAGTGGTCATGTATAGAATGAGGTGCAAATTAAATTGGTATAGCTGTTAAAAATGAAAGAGTTCCCGGAGAACATGCCAGCAAAACAAATAGTCACCTGGCTTCACAGTTATATGGAACATATTTTGAAATCTAATAGTTCAGGACAATCCCCAACAGAATACAGTTTCTCTTGCTGGTTAGTTTTTATTCCTTGTTCTGTCCGTGTCGATGTCTGCTGAGATATTATAAAGACTGTGGCATAAGAAATGTACAGGAGATTCCTAACCTGGATTTTATATGAAGGTAGTTGCTGGTGTGAGATTTAACTAGCAATTGATTCAGTGTGAAACCAGTGTAACTTTAGGTCACTGGACATTGTAAGTCCATGAGCCTTGATGACGCACCCACAAGAGCTGATGTCACTGTGAGGCTATTCTTGATAGTCTTGGAATAATCGTAGTGATTGAGAAAAGTGTATGAGGAGTGAAGGACAGCAAGTTCCATGGACCTGTAGGCTGGTCAGCCTCACCTGGATCTCTAAGAAGGAATAGATAATCCTGGCAATCATTTCTGTGCACATGAAGCACAAGAGGGTGATCAGTATTCATCAGCATGGATTCACCCAGGGGAAGTCATGCTTAACCAACCTGATACGAGGTGGATAAGAAATTGGTTGAATGGTTGCATCCTGAGGGCAGTGGTCACTGGGACCAGTGCTATTTAATATCTGAATTCATGACATAGACAAAAGGATTGATTGCACCCTCAGCAAGTTTACAGATGACACCAAATTGAGTTGTTCGACACATCTGAAGATTGGATGCCATCCAGTGGGACTTGGACAAGCTTGAGAAGTGGACCCATGGGAATGTCGTGAGGTTTAAGAATGAGTGCAGGGTGCTGCACCTGGGTCAGTGCAGTATCCCACTACAGGCTCAAGGGTGAACAGATCCAGAGCCACCCTGGTGAGAAGGACTTTGGGGTGCTGGTAGATGAGAGGCTGGACATGAGCTGGCAATGTGCACTTGCAGCCTGGAAAGCCTTTTACCCTGGGCTGCATCAAAAGCAGTGTGTCCAGCAGGTTGAGGGAGGTGATTCTACCCCTCTTTTCCACTCTTATGAGACTCCACCTGGAGTACTGCATCCAGCTCTGGGGTCCCCAGTACAGAGGAGGATTTCCAGCATTCTGATGAGAGAGATGGAGGACTCCTGGGAGGAAAGGCTGCGAGAACAGAGAAGGTTGAGGGGGACCCTAATTATGGCCTTCCAGTACCTGAAGGGAGCCTACAAGAAAGATGGAGAGTATTTACAAGGGCATGTTGTGACATTACAAGGAGGAATGGCTTCAAACTGAGAGTAGGCTTAGATTAAATATTAGGAAGAAATTCTTTACTGTGAGGGTAGTGAGGCACTGAAAGAGGTTGCCCACAGAACCTGTAGATGCTCTGTCCCTGGCAGTGTTCAGTGGTTGGATGGAGCTCTGGGCTACCTGGTCTAGTGAAAGGCATGAAACCCTACCTGTGGCAGTGGGGTTGGAACTGGGTGATCTTTAGGGTTCTTTCCAAGCCAAGCCATTCTGTGGTAACCTTCTACAATGAAATGACTGACCAGATAGATGAGAATAGTGAATATTGGCTACCTTAATTTCAGTAGGGTTTTCAACACTATCTCCTGTAAAATCCTGATAGAGAATCTGTTGAAGTGGGTCCAATCTGAGGACACAGTGAGCTGGATTGAAAATGGCTGGGCTGAGTGTGGTAATCAAGGGTAAGAAGCTAAGTTGGAGGTGTGTATTATGCATACTAGTGTGTGGTGTGTGCACTAGCAGTGTAATCTCAGGGCCAGTGCTAGGTCCTGTTTGACATCTTCATTAATGATCTGGATGATGGGGCAGATGTCTACCCTGATGACCAAAACTGGGAGGAGTGACTGATAGGCCAGAAGGTTGGGAAACGATCTGGAGGGACCTCACCAGACTGGTGAAATGGGCCAACAGGAACCTCATGGAATTCAGCAAAAAGTGTGGAGTCCTGCAACTGGGGAGGAGTAACCACGTGCATCAGCATATGCCATGGACCAGCCAGCTAGAAAGCAGCTTTGTAGAAAAGGACCTGTGTGTCTTGAAGGAAAAGTCGAACATGAGCTAGAAGTGTGCCTCCCTCTCTTCTGCCATTTTTTTCTTGCTTGCTTTTCCTTGTTCTCTGCGTATTTTATTTCTTCATTATCTGATGCTTATTGTTCTAATTTGTTTTCCTCACAGCAAATATGCGGGCTTTGTTCAGGCTGCCTCAGATTTCAGAAAAGCCAGGATACTGTTTCATTCCTTGCTGCCTTCATTCAGGAAAGACTTCCAGGCTTGGGATTTCAGCCAACTTCCTTTCCCTCATTGCTGTTGCCAGAGTTTGGGTGGGCTCCTAGATGTGGGATGTTCAGCTGGCAATGTTTTGGTTTTTTCTTTTTTCTTCCCTCATCACATGTGGTTTCAGTATGGTGGGTTTGTTTTTCAGGACTTGCTTTTCTACTGCAAGTAAGCCAAGAAGCTCAGGGATGAAAGGGGCTCCCAGGAGAGCCTGAGAGATAGCCCGAGTGGCGCATGCATGTAGTGTGAAAGGCTATCTGTGTAATTCTTGCCCAAGTCCTATTCACTGTTACGTCAACAGAAGTCTCAGATGACTCCTTGTGTCTGATTTAATGTGCCGCTTGGGTGGGACACCATTCTAAAGCACCTGTATTGCCAGCCTGGCTAATTTTAAATAAGATTTTGGGTACCCTGTTATAGGCAGTGTTTGTGGAGAGATGTCACACATTTGCCACTTCTTTCCTTAAGCCAAAGCTGTTTCTCAAGCATAGCAACTAAAACATGTGTGCAGTCCTACCCTTTTTTAACTAATGCATCTGTGTTTATTGATGTCTCTTGTTTATCCAATCTAGATCAAGATAGAGAAGGAACTTAGCAGCCTCTACAAGAGAATGTTTGAACCTCTCCATGTGCCTCCAGAGCTCTTCCAAAGACTAACCGGACAGTTCTGCAACATTCAGACTTTAAAGACTGGGCAAGCCTATGCAGCAGAAGATAAAACATCGGTTGATGATAGGCTAAGCATCCTGCTGAAGGGAAAGTAGGTTCTATAAAAGCTTGGGTACAGTGTTATGCTTCATGTGACGGTGGAATAGATTAGAAAATTTGTCAACAATCATATCCAAATTTAGATTAAATTAATCAAACTTCCATGATTTTAAAATGCTGTTTCATGCGTTTTTGTTTCCAGAATGAAGGTGTCTTATCGAGGGCATTTTCTGCATAATATTTACCCCTGTGCCTTTATAGATTCTCCTGAATTTCGATCAACACAGATGAACCGGGGTGAGAAATTCCAGGTACACTTTATTTTAAATGTCACTGGATATGAGCTGAGGAGATCATTAAAAAAACCCAGAGTATAAATTTGATCAACAGTGAACTATTTGACTTGCACAGTTTTGCTGACTTCCTAGTACTGGTGTTTGAAGATGGACCATATCAAGAATAACTAATGCCCCCAAACAGTATTATGATCGTGATTTAATGCGTTATTAGGTATATTAGGACTGAGCAGTCTGACTATTGCTGTTCTGGTCTCTTTTACTGTTTTCTCTTTGTGTTAAGAGATTGTTCAGGACAAATACTTTTAAAAGGTGGCTTTGCTGGAAAAAGAGATGATATGAGCAGATCTTGTCACTGGTTCAAAAACAGAAAAGAAAAAAAAAATATTGTAATAACGAAAGACTAAAAGTTCAGGCACTAGTAATTGGAAATTGGTACTTGTCAAAGCGTATTAATGCTTCTGCCATTTTGCAAGTTGTTAAAACAACACAATCTCAGTATTTTGAATAAAAATATTTATATGAGGGACAATAAGGGTATATGTCTCCAGCAGTGTAATTATGCTAGTATACTAAAGGATATATTTTATTATAGCCTTGTGGAAGGGGTGTGGAAATACTATTAGAGAAGTTATTTTTTTCCCATAAAAATGGCTATTTTTCTGTGTCTTACTTGATGTTCTTTAGTTAGATATATGTAATAATGACTGGACAGTGGCCGACTGGGTACATCCACGCTGATACCTTGGCAGAAGGAGAGGGAGGGAGAGCAACTCGGCTCTAAAATCAGTGATTGAGGTCATATGTTCCAGTCAGATACAAGGCTTAATGCCAGGGGATGCATTCATTTTGCAGCAGCGAGGTGTCCCCACAGCAGGGCTGCCCTCTTGGCACAGCCTGTTTTCCCTGTAAGGGACTGGATACAAGTTCGTCCCTCTCAAGGGAAAAGATTCATGCCTCAGCTTCTGCGTTCCTTACAGGTTATTGCAATCTGGTGAAATGCACATCCTTCACTCGTGAGTTCTGCTTGTTACTGCCATATTCATACTGTCACTGCTGCCCTTTCAAGTGTACACAGATTCAATCTTAAGGACCCCATCTGCTGGCAATGCTGGTGAATTCTTCCTCGGCCTGTGGGCTTATATTACACACTGTGAAGTAAAAAGTCCACAGATACATGACAGTTTCCCATTATTTCTTGGACTTTATAGGTTTTTAATTTTTTCAGGAGGTCATGTTATCCTGTAATAGAAGAGAGCACCTGATTTCTTCATAGGTTGACTGACTTCCCCCTTCAAAACGTGCCTTTTGGGTATCAGTAAGAGGTGTGGGTTTCAGTGTACCATTGCCCTCTGCTGGCACCGGGGGGACAAACCTGGCAGGTCCTGCCTCCCATGAGAGGGTGCAAGCTCTCCCATAACTGAATTATCAGTAACTGAGCAAACAGAGCCTTACTTAACTCAACTGCTAGAAAGCGGTACTTGTGGGATCAGAAGGGCTGATAGTGAAGAGAGAAAGATGGAAGTACTTGTTTTTAATCACTAAAAATTCTTTGATGGAGGCCTTTGGATGATACAAGTTGCTCATGCTTGGTGACAAAATAAACCCAAGCAACATGTAGGCCTATTGGGATTCAAGTAGTGTCATCACCATAGGACTGACTTTATATGTAAATTTCCTCTTACATAAATGCTTTTTTACAGTTTGGGAACTCATGAGAGATTTTTTCCTGTTACCTCCCCCCAGGTTTTCTGAAAAACAAACTGGCTGCACATATCAGTTAGAAATACAGAGATAATAGATATCTGAGATTTTTTTTTACATTTGCAGTCATAACATGCTAAGAGATACTAGAAAGTTTTATGGCTTTAACAGTTTTTTTAACTGGAGGCACAAATAAAATGGTATCACTTATTTTAAAGCCTGTTTAAATGTGGTAGTCTTAAAACATTTTAAAATGTGCTAATTTTGAGCATGGATTTTTTTTTCAGGTCACCATTGTCGCAGATGATAACTGCAAGTTCCTGTGCTGGTCCAGGGAAAGGCTGACTTACTTTCTGGAGTCTGAGCCATTTCTTTATGAGATCTTTAAGTATCTTATTGGCAAAGATATTACAAATAAACTTTATTCATTGAATGATCCAACCTTAAATGACAAGGTAAGCAATTTAAGTTTTGTTTGGGAATTTTTCTCCCACACAAAAATGTGTTTTTACTTCAATTTTAAATGCTCTCAAAGCACCTTTTTTTAACCTGCTGCTATCAGCTGCTGAATGCACTCTCATGGCCTTTTAGTGCCAAGATACGAGTCAGTGCAATGTTTCTGTCAGAAGCAATATTTGTTAAAGTTTGCACAGTCAGGTACATGAAAGATGAGTAACTGAGATTCAAAACTGATTGACTAGTGCAGATATTTCTAGCCATCTATTAGACACGATGGCCAGTAGCTAAAAAGGTGCTTCTCCCTGGATATTGTTTCTCTTTAACAAATGAGTGTGTTTGTACAAAAAAGTTTCAGAGCTTTTTCTTAAAAAAAACTTTTACTAGGAAAAACAGCTATGTGATACTGACTTCTAGGAAGAATAATTCCAACATCTTTGAGGGTTGAAAATACAAAAAAAAAAAAAAAAAAAAAAAAGGAAACATTATGTGGATATGATGCAGTTAATGGAAGGAATCATGAAATATGTATAAAATATAAATAAATACGAATACATATAGAACATTAGGTGGTCTGAATAGAACTCGTTATTTGCCTGTAGGGGGAGTGCATTTTAGGTGTCTGGGTAAGTGGTCTGGGTATAGTCATGGTTATATTAATTATCTTGTTTTAGTTTCATTTTGGCTCCTTACTTAGTTATGTGACTTTACAAGATTTGGACAGTAACTTGTTTGCTGGTGGTTTTTCAGTTTGGGTGGGTTTTTTCTTGTTGTTTGCTTGTTTATTGTTCATGTACTGGTTGTAAGGTTCTCATATATAATTTATTTGAAGAACCTTCACCATCATTTATGGAAAGCTTTATAATTTTATAATACAGTATTTTTGTATCCTGTCTGTATTGATTAATTTAGAGCAAAAATCCTTCTCATCAGATTACCTGTAGGTAACTTGTATGTAGATTAAACAGTTACTTCTGCAAAGTTGGGAATTTGATCGAAAATTATCCTAGGGGAATGACTGCCACTACTACAGACTTCGACAGGCTTAACTTGTCATGTCTTTATGCCTAATTAGACTCTGTAAGTTTTCTCAATTTTATACTGAGTATAGAAAGAGAAAAAAAAAGAATTGCGGGGGAAACAATTTAATAGCAATAAAGCACTGCTTAATTTGCTTTTTGATTAATCAAATAGATTACACTGTCTTGCAGTCAAATACTCAAAACTATTTCAGATCACTGCTTTACTTTACTAATGCAGTAAGGTCAAGGTGATCTAGCAGGAATATACCACCTGCAAAATACATCTTATAAAGCGTGTGTTAAACCTGCGCTTTTTTTTTTCCAATAAAAAAGACTTACAGGGTAATTTTCTATAATAAAACTCATATCTACATAGACAGAAAGTAATTTCTGGAGTATGGCACCTTGAAAGAATAAGTAGCAATGTGCCTCCTATGTGTGCTAAGAATTGTACTGGGAGACTGCTCTCTCCTGGAGACTGCTGCTCTGCACACTCCTTCTCACCTTGCCTTTTTTCCTTTTTCCCCTCCATCTTTCCTTTCTCTTCTTTCTGTAAGAAAACACATGAAACTTCCAGTGCAAAATTAAATTGAAATTGAATAATTAATATGAGGTTTCATACTAGTCAGTGTTCCAATTCCAATATATTACTGGAATTTTCTGTTTTCATTCCAGTCGATGTACACTGCATAGAATCTTCTGCTCTAGCAAGTTTCTTGGATAAGCATAGCTGAGACCAGAGCATCTACTACAAGGGAAATAGTTATTTTTCCATTTTATTTTAATTTGCCTGACCTTTTTAAATTTTTTTTTTTCTTTCTTTAGGCTTCAAAAAAGATTGATCGCCAGCCTAGTCTCTGCTCTCAGCTCTCCGTGATGCAGATGAGAAACAGTATGGCCAGTACCAGTGACAGCGAGGATGGCTTGCAGATGTTTCTTCGTGGGACTTCCTCTGCATCCTCTCTTCGTGAGTGCTCGGAATAGCTCGTGCCAGTTTTGAACACAGCTTGGTTGACCATTAGAGATTATTGTAGAACTCTGTGGGAGCAGACAACAGCTTTTTGGATGCTGCTGTGCATCAGCTAAATGAAAGGACCTAACTATAGGGCAGTCATAAGATGCATGAGGCTTTGTGTGCTAACTGAGGATACCTCATGTAGATACTGGCAAAAACCCTAGCATGTATGGTAATAATTTTTGGGGTAGTGATTATGCGTAGACATAATATGGAATGTTTATAGTAATGGGACAAAACTGAACGTACAGTGCCTGTCACAGTAGTATGTTCTTTATTCTGTGACTGGTGCTTGTAGAAATTAAAAACCTTAACAAAGCATTACCCCTCAGCGACTTGGTGTTCTGCATTTTCTCCTGAGATAATTCTCCTGATTGTATTGGCAGGATCTTGAGAAATGTGGTGTACAAGCAATATTTTGATGTGACCTGGGAAACCTCCAAATATCCTGTCAGGCTCTCGTCTCCTGTGCTTTGTATGACAGGAGTAGTAGAGAACAGATGAAGTGAGAGAAGAAATCATGTCTGACCTTTTTGCTTCTACTCTTGGAAATTTATTCCTTTATAGAAACATTCTAAATTCTTTCTAGGCTTTTGCTGTTGTTTTTTTTCAGTTCCTCTGAATCTAAACTTCAGCCCTAACCTGAACTCCGAAAGTAGCTTTTGAACAAAAAAAAACAGAGGATATTCACTTTTCTCATTTGGCATAAACTGTTAGTTTAACAGAATTTAAAAGGATCATATAAGATTTTCTCTTTTGATTTGGGAAGTTTTATTGTTTAGTGACTAGAATTGGAATTTATGAGAGGGAAAATCACTGCTAATAACTGTTATTTGTTATGGTTAAAGTCTCTGCTAAGAAGAGGAAGTGTTTTCAAATATTGGCACTTTTCTGTTTCATTTTCTGTTTTCCATTGTGTTCCTCACAGTTCTCATCCAGGAACTCCTTCAGACTTGGAGGGCCTATCTGTTTTTACTCCTTAACATTGGTATAGTCTGCATGCCCAGACAGAAGGAAGCAAAAGCCCTGCGAGTGTTTCACCCTACTAGAACATCAAGGGTGACACCTGGGATATAGTTTGATGAAAATTCCAGTGGTTTTTTTTTCCCTTTTCTCCTCTGTTCTGTGCAAGGATATTTAGAGTCACAGAACAGTTGAGGTTGTAAGGAACCTCTGGAGATCATCTAGTCCAGCCTCACTTTCAAAGCAAGATCAGGGCTATGTCCAGTCAAGCTTTGAATATTTCCAAGGTGGAAGATTTCACAGCCTCCCAGGGCAACCAATTCCAGGGCTTTACCACCCTCATGGTGAAAAAAATGTCCCTTATTGCAGCTCGTAGTTGTTGTACTTTGTTCTTTAGTGCATGCCTCCGAGAAGAGTCTGGCTCTCTCTTCTTTATACCTTTCCACTAAGTGGCCGAAGACAGCAGTCAGATCCCCTGAGAGCCTTCTGTTCCTAAGGCTGAACACACCCTGCTCTTGCAGCCCCTCCATGTACGCCACCTGCTCCAGCCTCTGACCATCTTGGTTGCTCTCCACTGCACTCGCCTCCAGTATGTCTATGTCTTTCCTGTACAGGGAGGTGCAAAACTGGACACAGCACTCCAGATCCTGTCTCACAAGTGCCAAATGGAGAGGAATAATATCTTTCCTTGATCTGCTGGCTAATGCTCTTGCTTATATGGCTCAATATATGCTGCTAATATGGTCCAATATATGGATGGCATTCGTGACTGCAGGGGCACCCTGCTGACTCATATTTGATTTTGTGTCCGCCAGGACCTCCAGGTCTGTTTCTGCAAAGTTGCTTTTCCAACCACTTCATGCCTAGGCTGTAACGCTGTGTAGGTTTGTTATGTCCCACGTGCAGGGATTTGCCTTTCTTGAACTTCTTGTAGTTTCTGTCAGGTTTTTTTTCCCCAGTCTATGATGGTCCTTTCTGACTTGCTGCCCTACCCTCTGGCTTGCACTTTCTCTCACTACTTGGCTGTGAACTTGGTGGGAGTTCATTCCATCCCATCACCCAGATCATTAATATATTGAATATTATAGGCCTTGGCACTGGCCCTTGAGGGGTAGCTACCTGACAGCTGGATTTTGTGCTGCTGTTCACCACCCTGTGAACTTGGTAGTCCAGCAGATTATTCACCCAAGCTATAGTCCATGTATCCAGTCTGGTTCTTACCCATTTGTCTGGAAGGATTCTGTGACAGACTGGGAAGGGCTCTGCTACCATCCCAGTAAGCAACATCCACTGTACTCCATTTCTCCACAGAGCTAGTCATCTCACCACCTCAGGGTGGTCAGATGCAATCCGCCCATGGTACATCCAGTCACCTTCCCATCCTTCATGTTCTTGGACATGGGTTCCAGGAAGACAAGCTCCATAATCTTCCTGGAAACTGAGGTTAGACTGATAGGCCATTTGTTCCCTGGGTGCTCCTCCTTGCCCTTTGATAAAATGGCTGTGATGTTGGCCTTTTTCTGCCTCCCCTGACTGCCATCGTCTTTCCAAGATGGTCTTGCAATTGCATCAGTCAACACTTAGCACCTTTGGATGCAGCCCATGTGGTTCCACCATCCAGTGTTTGTCCTGTTGACTTAAATAGTCCCTAACTCCAGCTTTTTTGTAAGTCAAGCATTGCTCTCCCAGTCTCTACCACTGGACTTAGAGAACTGGGTGGCCTCAGGACAAACCTGTAAAGTAAAAAGAAAAAAAAAACCAAACAACAAAAGAAAACAAACAAAAAACCACACCAAAAAAACCCACACACAAAACCCCCCCCCCCCAAAATTGAATATCTTAGAATTTTTCATGTCCCTGAGTCTTGTGCATCACTGAGCTGTGGCCTTGCAGTTTCACTGGTCTTTCATTTGTTGCTGGTGTATTTGTAGAAGCCTTTCTTGTTGCTGTTGTCAAGATCCAGGTCTAGCTGATCTTTGGCTTTCCTAATTTCATCACTGCACGTTTGGGTCATGGTTCCCAAGGAGCTCATGCTTGCTTTCACTTAGTGTGTGTGTTTGAGCTCTGTCAGGACTTTGCTGTTCATCTATGCCAGCCTTCTACCACACTTGCTCAACCTTCTGTGCACCGGAACAGACTGTTCTTATGTTTTGAGGAGGGTGTCCTTGAAGATCAGCCATCTGTCCTGTGGGTTCCTGCCAGGTGGAACCCTGAGCAAGCCAGAGTTCCCTTACCTGTAGGGTTGTACTTCTTCCCTTTGTCTTGCACACCACTCGGTATCCTAAACTCCACCAATTCCTGGACACTGCAACCAAGATTGCTATCAGCCTTCAGCTCCCTGATGAGTTCTTCCTTGTTCATCAGTGACAGGTCCAGCAGAGTGCCCTCCCTAGTTGGCTCAACGATCACTTGTATGAAGAAATTTTCTGCTGCGTTCCAGAAATCTCCTGGACTGCTTGCTCCCAGCCCTGTTGCCTTCCCACCAGATACTGGGGTGGTTAAAGTTCCCCACAAGTACAAGGCCTGTGATCCAGTTGTCGAAAGAAGGCTTCCATCTACTTGCTCTTCTGGATCAGTCAGCCTGTAGCAGCTACCTGCCATGGAGTCTCCTGTGTTGGTCTGTTCTTTACCCACAAACTCTTGAGTGGCTTTTCTCCTGTTCCACACACAGCAAAGTTCCATGAATTGAAGCCACTCCTTTGTGTAGAGAGCCCTAGGAAGAATTTGTGCACTCAGAAGCCTGAAAGAAATTGTAAAACTGTGTTTCTGCAATTAGTTAGAATTAAAATGTCTTTTTCAGGCTTAACAGCAAAACACATCATTGTTTCAGCTTTGGGAGAAAGTAGTTGAAATGCGTGACACGTTCAGCTGTAATTAAGTAAATCTCCAAGATGCATTAGTGCTTAGCACATACTTGATAAATACAGTTTTCTATGTTGTATTTTCCTTTGTTTGTGTACCTTTTTTTTTTTTGGTGTATAGGGTATAGTTCCCCCTAAAGAGGGGTTTAAATGTCTTTTGTGTTCTGAACTCACTCAGTCCAACTGAGGCAGCAGCCTCCTGAGTCCAATACTTTTCCTTACTTTTGGGGAGGCAGAGGGGTTGCCCATACAGCAGTGCAGTATACACCTCAGGAAATATCGTCATTTATGAATATCTTCTCTCTACATTTTGATTTTAAATTTCTGACTTCTGTAAAAGGTTGATAAAAATTCATGATGCAAGTTTATTTATCTCCTTGAACTGTAATGCTTCAATCTTTTGTTTTTTACCAAGATAGCTTATTAGTTATTGCTGGGCACTGTCACTGCCAGTGATGGGCTTGCCACCAAGGTGAGCTCTGCTTTAAGGTTTGTGTTCAGTGTGGACTGTGGGCCGTGTGTGCACATTTTCTCAGATCACAGGGAAAACCAAACAAAAAACGTGCCATTTACCTTAGCACTGTGTTCTCAAAAACCTTCTCCTGGGTGCTCTCAATGCAGCAGTCAGAGGTTTTTTTGTCTGATTTTTTTCTCTTTTTTTAAGATTCAGTATAAGACACATGCTGAGGCTTACAGCCCTAGTGCTGTTCCCTGGGTCCCCCTTGTGGAATCGTACATTTATTTAAAACAAACAAACACAATCCAAAATCCTCAGAAGATTTTGTTAGAAACATTTGGAAATTACAAACCTGGTTGTTGTTGTGGGTGGTTTTTTTTTTTTTTTTTTTTTTTTTTTTTTTTTTTTTTTTTTTTTTTTTTTTTTTTTTTTTTTTTTTTTTTTTTTTTTTTTTTTTTTTTTTTTTTTTTTTTTTTTTTTTTTTTTTTTTTTTTTGTTTGTTTGTTTGTTTGTTTTTTGTTTTTTTTTTTTTGTATGGGAGCTCTACAGAAATATTGTTTCGTCATTGCTAGGTGATTGTTGTGTGGACAAAAGCTTCCCAATAACAAATATGATGTTTTACTAGGGCAGTACAAATACATTTTCTTCTTATTATTTCCATACTAATGAAAATTGAGCATTTATATTTTTGTATAATCCCAACTTTTAAAGTTATGCTTTTATCAGTGCTACAAACAGTAAGCTTTGGCTCATTTTCTCAGGAAATTGATATAAAGCTATTCTCAAAGTGTTTTGTAGTGAAAGGGTTAAAAATACTTATTAGTAGGTCCCAAACTATGATTACTAATGAAACTGTGTTTTGAATTTAATTAACTAAGAAACCCAACTAACTGTTTGCTTTTATATTAAGGAAATAACCAACAAGAGTTCTATAATGCTTATGGAGTGAGTCGTTTGCAGCATGATGTTTTCTGTTGATAACATCACATTAACTCAGCAGGCATCCTCAAAAAGGTATTAAAGTGGGGTTTGTTTATCGTGTGACACTTGTGCTTGACATCCATGATCCATCATCTCTATGTAATTCATTAGTAAGTGAAATAGGTGTATCTCTTTTTCCAAAATTTGAGTTAAACAAAAATAGTTCAACCTGATCACAAGCGTAACTTCACTTAACTTTCAGTCCTTTGAAAATATTTTGGTATTAGTTTCTATTCCATGATACTACTGCTTGATAGCATTCACATACTTACTAGTGATGCAGTCTCTTTCTGGGGTACTTAGTTTAAATAGTTCAGATTTACTGGTCTACAAATCTGTATTTGCTAACTTCTAAGCTAAGCCAGAATGTAAAAAGGTTTAGGTTTGGTAGTGCTTTTAGTGGTATTATCAAATTATAGGATCGTTATGTTTATACCCAGCTTGTGGTTAAAAGCAGGACTGGGATTCGTTTAAGTTCTAATATGTGTTTTGGCTTAGACCCTCAAGAAAGGGCAACAGAATGTATTGGATGGAAGGTCTGACTCAGTCACTTGAACATCTGGATAGAGATCCAGCACTGGATAGAGGCGTCAGTAGACAGTTTAGAACAAATAAGAGCATGTATTTGAAACAAACAGGGTGAGAGAATTTGACCTTATATCCTATTAAACAGACTTATGGCTTCTTACTTCTGGAGAAAACTAAGTACTTCTAAATAAAAGAAAACCATTCTAAAAATAGTAATTAACTAATTAAAAAAAAAAAGGGGGACAAAAAGAAGCTGAAGCTAACTCAGCATTTTCAGGCAGACTTTCACCTTTGAGTGTAATTTGTTGGTGTCTCCTAGAAAAGTCTATTTCCTTTCCAAGTGTACCCACAAACTTTGGGTTTAGTTACCCTTTGCTTAGGCCATAAAACCCATTTGTGTGAAAAGAAGTGTTTAACAATTCCGGTACTTAAAAATGTGTTTGAGTAACTCTGTATCATGGTAGTTTAAGTAATTTTTAAATGTAAAAGAAAATGCTAATAAATTTTTAACATAATGAGTTCCAAAAAGCTAATTCCAAACAATGTCTTTGTGAATGTGACTTAAAAATGCAGTTATACGATAACCTGCTGGTCTTGCCTGTAGCTGTATTTTGTTCTCTGTGTGTAACGCATACATTGCTAATGAGTCCTTCCTCATAAATAGGCTTCCTTAACACAGCACTTTACTGTATGTTTGATAAACTTATTTTAAAATAAGACTGTGCTATAGCTCTCAGTATTTTTTCAAGAATATTTTAATTTTTAGCTTCTATGCAAACAGTGATCCTGCTGACAGATATCTTATGCTCTTTTCTTCTCAAATGGTATTTTGAAGTTTTCCATAATCTTTTTGATCATCATATCCTAGCTGCTTACAGCCTTGTAGCATTGTACTGGTCTAACTCTAGAAGAGGGTACTGAGAGGAAAACATGTCCAACTGCAGATGCAATTTCAGAGTGAAAAATGGAAAACAAAACTGTTCAGCCGATGTCAAAGAGTTTCTTTGGATTGACCCTCATGCTGAAAATTTAACTGCAGTAGAGGTAGTTTGCAGTGGTAACTTGCACAAAAACTCCATTTAATGTCTTGTCACAAATAGCTGCGGTGTGCGTTCTGCTCCGGCAGACAAGCTGCTGCTTTTCTAAAAGGTTGTTTTGTTGCATTGAAATCATCGTCACTCAAAAGTTTTATGTTTTCTCTGTGTTTGTTTATGGGGGCATGTATCTTCTATAAGTTTTATATTAATAAATATAATATAATATATATATTAATATTTATATTAATATGCTGCGTAAAACTTACGAAGCTGTGTCAGGGGAGGTTTAGGTTGGATAGTAGGTAAAGGTTCTGTACCCAGAGGGTGTTTGGGCACTCTAACAGGCTCCCAGAGAAGTGGTCACAGCACCAAACCTGGCAGAGCTCAAGAAGTATTTAGACAATGCTCTCAGGCACATGGTGGGATTCTTGGGGGTGTCCTGTGCAGGGCCAGGAGCTGGACTTTGATCCTATTGGGTCCTTTCTAACTCAGGGTGTTCTATGATTTTATACTTTAACAGCAAAGTTAGGGCTTTGATCACGCGCCCACCTGAGGTTTGCCCAGTATGCTGAGGAAGTGTGCAAATGTACACACCTTTTGTGCTTAGGGCAGCCATCCATGCTGCTGCCATTGAATGGAGTTAGTGGGTGAGTGTCATGGTGAGAAAGTGACCACCAAGGACTCAAACAGTGGGCACCTTGCTCAGTCAGGGTTTGCGGTGAATTTGGGGAGAATACCATGTCTGTGGTTAACAACAGGGTTTGAACCTTAGAGGTGTTGCTGGTTCATAGCAGCGTGGCTGTCCCATATCTAAAATTTCCTGGTGTCTGTGGCCAGGTAACAAGAAAACCTTCGTTTATAAAATCCTCTCGTGAGGCAACTTGGTTGGGATCATCAGATTGTGTACAATTTGTCATAAGTAGGTGTACCTAGCAGGTGTGTGTCGTTCAACTAATCGGTAATTTCTTTGTAACTGTGACAGGCCCGGGCCGGACATCTCCCTACCTGAGAACTTCAGCAAAGATGAAGCCAATAGAAGAAAGTGTTGAAGATGATGTCTTTGAAGCACCATCTGGTGATAAGTTTGAACTCCAGCGGCTGCCTTAAAACAGATGTGTCCTCAGGTGTATCAGAGCTTGCACAAAGCTCCCATGCAAAAGGATGAAGTTGAATTTGGGGGGAATCTGAAAGCTAAACCCACTCTCTGTGTTTGAAGTTACCACAGCATATGCCCGTGGCTTCTAGATGGAAATGTCACGTTTTATTTTACTTCTAAATAAAATAAATAAAACTTGTATGTGTTTTTTATTTTCTTGACATGGGTTTTGCTTTATTCCTACTTTGACGCTTGCCATTATAAATTTATTGTTGAGTTGCTGACTAGACTGAAAATTCTAGACTTCTTTGGTGGAGAATATCCCCAGTTTCATTTCCTTGAGTTTCTTAGAAACCTGTATCTTACTGTTTTCAGTGAGAGATTTTGAAACTCTGTTTACAAAGCTGTGTTGCTGTTACCTGTCATCATTGTTGTGACAGTCTCATGAAAAGTACACACTGTCTTCTGCCTCTAAATTTTTTGGTAGATATTAGCCTCTAATTCTAGTGCTTCCCCGCCTGACTGCTTGACTCTGCAATTGACTTTACAATTGTAATAATTTTAGTAATGACTTCAATTTTAGTTTTTCTTGGCCAAAGATTTAAATGTAATGTTGCCTTTTCAAACTTAAGTTTTTCTTCTTTAGGCAACTGTATTACACTGAAATCCATGCTTTCCCTTAGTCTTATCCATTGACTGATTGAGCTACTCTGGATTAACCTTCCCACAAAGTGACACACAAATGATGTAGGAAATTCCATTCAAAACTGGGTAACTGCAAGTAAAGTAAAACACAATGTTATAAAGGGAGGCATTGGGAAGCTTTTATAAGAGGCATTTGTAGCAGTCCTGTCTTTGATAGATGGAGACATGTAGATGATAACTGTACTACTTTGCTCTGACAATTCTTGAAAATTGTTGTGCTACAAATAGTATATTTATACTAAGTATAACAGAAAATACTGTTTCAGTTACTAGGTTGACAAATCTGATAATTAGAATAATAGAAGTTTGGTGTTAACTCTCAAGCAATTAGAAGTGTCAGAGTCTGGGATTTTCTGGCTTGTGTCATTCCATTTTAGTTCTAAAATTTATCCTGACAGAACATCTTTGAGTCAGCCTGCATCCAAGATACGACTTACTCTATCCTTAAAAGCTCATTCAGTATCAAAATGCCCATTAAGCTATTGGAAGTTTGGCCTGTGTTGTCACCATTCCTGCTTCTGTGAATTTAAATCTAGTGTTTATTATTACTTCATTATGTCTTGTGGTTCCGTCAGTTTTTGCGTTACTAGACGTGGCACACGGAGCTGAGACATACTTACTAATTCGTGAAAATATATGTAAAATATTTTTAGACCACACATTTGCAAAAGACAGCACACTGGCTTCTGTTGGAGGTGCTGTAGTAAAGAGCATTGTTAGTTCAGTATCTCCTTTTGGCTACTCAGAGAGTAAGGAAATGGTAATTATTTTACTTATGAGGAGATACATCTCCTTGTCCTGATTTAATTTCCCCGAACTTCTCCTGGTTGTGAAACTCCTATAAAGAGGAAAACCAAGCTGGTAGAATAGAGCTCATGCAGTTTAGCAATAACCAGAAAACTGAGTGAAGTAAAAATAGTAGTTCCTACTTCTTCCTTCTCCACCAGAACCATTTCTCATGTATTGGTAACAATTCAGTCGATATACAGTGCCTGTAGAGACTGCATCTCCTGAAGAGAATTTGTCTGAATAATAAGAGAGGCCCCTGCAGGAGCTGAGCTCTGTGTACCCATTGTGTCTCCGAGGCTCAGGACCAGGAACCTTTGCTGCTGTCTGGGAACAAGGCCCAAGTTATATTTATGCCCTCAAAGCATCACACATGCTAAGGATTGCTACAGCAGTAACACTGCAAAGTATGATAAATAACTGTATTAGCTTACCAGAAGTGATACATTTTATTACCTGAAAATACATAAATGGAAATTGAAAAATTCCTGATAAATGGGTAAAATTAATAGGAAGTAAGTTCACTTGATAAACACAACTTGCAGAGTCTGTTTACCTGTATCCCAGCTGTTTCAAATAGTTTTTCTCAGACAACAGAATTAAAATGGACTGTAGACTGATTTTCTGTATTGAATGAGTTGCTATTGCAGAAGTTAAGGAAAAACACCCTGTAATTATTCAGACTTAAAGAGGAATGTTTGTGTGCAGGGGTGTAGGATGGGCTGTCAACCAACTGTTAGCTCATTTTGAAGTCTGATTAGTAAATCAAACATAAAACAACATACAGTTTTAAATCAGAACTTCATGTTCTGTGGGTCATAACTGTAACTATGCTGCAGATGTGAATTATACTAGCAAATAGTTGCTTTTGCTAACCAGAATGCCTGTGGGAAAGAAGTGGAAAGTACTTCAACAAAATGTTTTGTTTCGTTCTTAAAGAATTCTGTGATGTCAATGAATTTATATATATAAAAACGCATCTTGAGTACCATGTTTGTCAGAGGGACTGAACTAAATTATATCAATTAGCTCTATCAAGAGTTGTGTTAGAGATACACTTAAGGCTCTGTCCCACTCTCACAGCAAAGCAGTGTTTGCCTCAGTCTTAAATTGTGTGGAATGAACCTCATGTGGAGCTGTCTGAGCTGTAACTCACACCCACAAGAGCTTGTGTGCTCCTACCCCAGGAGGTAAATCCGCTTCGAAGAAATTGGCCAAAGCTTCAAAAGATTAATTTGGGCATTTAGAGAGGATTCAGAAAATCAGCTGTGGCCCAGGGCTCAGGAAGTCATGTATATAAAAATGCTCCAGTGATGTAGCAGGTGAACAACTAGACCTCAATTAATGTGAAGAAACACACTAGTCATGACCCACATGATGTTTCTACAGCCTGAAAACCAGCTCTCAGTTCTAGTCCATGAGGGGTATTTGCAGTAAACAGCAAGTGTCTACCAGGTTAATTCAACAATCAAACTATTTCAGTGATAGGAATGTAGTTTAGATAACCCTGGTTTTGAAATGATCATTTTACAAACAAGCCAAAATTACAAATAAAATAAAAAAAAAGAAAAAAATATGTTGAACTGGTATGCAAACACTAAATGCCTCTTTGTTTTGCTTTGTGTTTTTTTTTTTTTCCTGTACTATTTCCCTTCAAGAAATAAGAGCAACTGAGTTAAAATCTCCTTATGGAAAATAAGCTACTTTACTTGATATTTGCTTTAGTAAGCAAAACAAAGATCTAACAAAAGAAATGTTTCAATAAACTAAAAAAAAAAAAA